TTTTGGGTTTGGTATTTGGGTTTTGGGTCATTGGGTTGTTTAATGGGCTCAATTGAAATGATTAAAGTAGCAAAAAATAATATTAAGGTTGAAGTGTTGAATATTTAAAATTCAAAGAAGCTGGGAGTGGGAACTGGGAGTTTGGAGTCTGGACGGTGGACACTGCACATCTCCCTTTGATTTTGGACCGATCGGTTCATCAGTTGAATCGGTTAAATCAAAAATCGAGATTCAAAACGGTTCAATGATCGGTTCGATTTTAAAAACCTTGTTAGAAGGGTTAATATTGAGTTTTATGGGAAAGAAACTTAGCGTGCACTAACATCATGTAAAAGTTTGACATGTGATTCAAAACACAACACTTTTCCAACTTAAAACCAATTAGTAATAGGTAAAGTGACCCTCTTGTATTTAAGGCACATATTTCTTGGTTTTATCTTCGATGTGGAATTTTAGCTTTCAACAAAGCTTTAGGGTGTATCCATGGAGCTTTTGTCGCCTCAAGGGCTTAATCACATTGCTAATGCAATTTGTACCCTATTGGCTGTAGACAAGGCTACACATACTAGAACAAAGGTGGATTTTATCGAAGTTTTTGCTGAGATTGATGTTTGTCATAACCCAATTTTAATTGGGCCTAAATGATAAAATTAGAAGGCAATGGACTATTTTTATAAAGGTTGGAAACTTGAAGGGCTGAGAGGAGAAAATGGAAAAACGACTTCGTTTTGACCAATGGGCTAAAAACTAAAAAAGAGAGGCTAGGTTCAGATGAACCCTAGCCCTCAGTTTTCACGATTCTTGCTTCCTCTTACTTTGCCGCCAGCCATTCTCCCAAAACTCCCAAATTCTTTTGATTTATCTCTAAATCCACTCAAAGTTTAAATAGATCACAACAACACAAGAAGAGATTTTCGAATTTGAAGTCCTTATCAAGAATTGAAGAAGTTTTCAAAGGCGATTCAAATGAGGAGTCCTGATCTTTTGTATGAATCTAGTCTTGAAAGAGGGAAGATGTGTAAAAGACTAGATTAGTTTTAGAATTCCAATTTCGAATAGGATTAGATTATTATATGTAATTTTGGGATTGGGATTAGAATTTAAAATTAAAAAAAGATTGGAGTTCTCTCTGTTTCTGTATAAAAAAGGGGGGCGCCTTCGGCTCAGGAGGAGAGGAAAATTTGAGGGAGAAAGGAAGAAATTTGGGAGCCGATAGATAGTGTGAAGCAAAAGAAGGAAGAAATCTTGTATTTTGAAGTTTGCAGCAAATAAATAAATTGGTTTTCTCCTTTTTAGGTGTGTTTTCTTGAGAATATGGAAGAATTTGGATCTTGAATCTTAGTTTTTTGCATATGTTTCCTTTTTCTTCGTTTCTTTTGTTTCTTGGTTGCTATATTAATCTGGAGAAATTTTTTATTGGGTGTTTTCTTGTTGCATACATATTTTCTCCCTTTATTTGTTTGTCCCCAGTCCTATTCATCATTTGGTTTCATGGCTGTTTCCTTGTTTAATCAGAGTAATTTAACAAAATCAATTACTGTTCATCATTTGGTTTCATGGCTATTTCCTTGTTTAATCAGAGTAATTTAACAAAATCAATTACCGTCATTTTACATTTAGGGTATCATTTAGAAGCTACTAGGATATGGGTACTGTGATTTAGTTTGTGCTCTGGTAATTTGAGATAATAAACAGATTTTGTTTTCTATCATAAAGTTCTCTTTTGGGATTTGCTGTTCTTTTGAAATGCATTAGATAAAAAAAAAATGAAAGAGAAAAAAAAAATATATATATATATATATATATATAACAAAAGAAAAAAATGGAAAAAGACAATGATGGGGTTTTTGAAGTTTTATTTTATTTTATTTTATGTTATTTGGTAATTATTATTATTTTGATATAAAATTGAAAAGTCCACAAAATTAAAGTATATGATAACCATATTATTTGGAAGTTGTGGGGTGCGTAACACTTTTTCCATGCTTAACTGACCCTTCAAACCTAGTTAATTTCTACGTAGACCTTGATGATCTATCCCACCTCATTTGGATAGATGGCAACTTCATTCATTTTGGCACGTCAACCATGTTGCATCCACTCAAGATCATCACCCTATGGAGTAAGTATCCTGTTGATACTGAGGAGTGTCTAAGCACATATTGTGTTTGAAAAATGTTTAGATTTTACACGAAGAAGATCTTTAAAATCATAAGCACATATTGACATTGTCAACTATTAGTAAATGATTTGAAGCTTAGGCCAGGTTCTGCGTAGACTTCTATAGTTCTCTTAGGTTAAGTGGTGGGCACTGCAGTTTGGGGTTTGCTTCATGTTAGGATGATTTTTGTTTAGGTGACATCTTGAGACAATGTTGAGTGAATCACCCTATTCTTGAAATGCAATTTTAATTTCAAGATGGTTGGTGCACCCCTTTCAAAGTTTAAGATGATGATATTCCGCTCACTGGCCTCAAGATGGCATCAACATTCATTGGCAATTCTACATCCATTCAATAGATGTTCAAGCGGGTGAGCGAGCAATTTACAGCCATGTTCAGGAGAAAAGCTTTCTTGCATTGGTAGACCGGGGAGGGGATGGATGAGATGGAGTTTACTGAGGCAGAAAGCAACATGAACGATCTTGTATCAGAGTATCAGCAGTACCAAGACGCAACAGTGGATGAGGAAGGAGATTATGAGGATGAGGATGCTGAATATCAGGATTAAGTCTGTGATAAATCTCCAACTTCCAGCTACTGGAATTAATGTGAAAATAATTGAAATTATCAAAGCGGAAAAATCTTTTTGCTGAATAAAGTTCCAATTCTTCCTTGAAATTCAAAAATACCATGTTCATACTTAGTTGTTTTCTTTTTGGTAAAAGCAATTCTTTTTGGTTAATTATTATTAATAGCAACGATATATATATATAATTTTTTTATATGATATTTTATATAATTTTTATATATTATTAAATTAATAATTTTATCTAACATAATGAGTTTTGAATAAATAAAAATAATTAATTATTTTAATAATACATAAAATTATATTAAAAATAATAAAAAAATGTATTGATTAATGTTTTTGAAAAATGTGCACATTTAATTTAAACTCTTAAATTAAAAATTAAACACTAAAACCAATAATTTGTTGGGCATGAGTGCGTCATAAGTGTCAGGGGCAGGGGGTCCCCTTAAACCGGGAAATGATTACGCTTGGACTTGGAGGTGTCCACATCCTAAAAGTAAAAACCAATATTTAGTTTTTTTTTTTTTTATAAAAATGATAATTTTTAATTCTTCGACTTATAACGTAATATTTTTAGTTATTTACCTTATAAAATTGATAAATTTTAATTTTTTGTATTATAAAATTGATAAATTTTAATTTTTTATCTTATATTATAACTTTTTAGCCCATTATTTATACAAATTGAAGAAAATAACCTTCACATAATGTTAACTTATAACATTTTATTAGTTTTGTTAACTGGCTGTTAACATCCGTTAGTATTTCATTACAAAAAATATTAAATTCAAATTTAATTTTATTTATTAGTTCTATTAACGGAATGCTAATAAATGTTAACAGTCAGTTAATAAAACTAATAATCAATTAACAAAATTTACAATCAACTGATAGAACTAACAGAACATTATAATATGATATTGAATGAGGGTTATTTTCTTCAATTTATACAGAATAAGAACTAAAAGTGTCATAATATAAGATAAAAGGTTAAAACCTATAAATTTTATAAAATAAGGGATTGAAACCTATTAATTTTATAAGATAAAAAGTTAAAAGTGTTATATTATAAGGTTAGAACATAATAATAAGATAAGGAGTTAAAAGTTGATTTTAACCCAAATTAAGGGTACTAAACTGTTTCGGAAACAAATGTGACCCTGTAAGGTGTAAGGGGTAAATATGCTAATACATGAAACTAAGGAGACCATCTCTTAAAAAAACCAAAACTCCAATTCCGGGGTACTTCTTGGTTTCTTGCTTCTCGCCATTTCCATCCCTTCTCCTTCTGCAAATTCTGCAGAAGACAAGAGGAAAGGAATAGGAAAAAACTGAACAAAAATGGCGACTATTGTCCCACATAGAGCGCTGCAAAATCAATCCTTTGGACTTCTTAGGCTCTCATTCAACTTCCTACGGAGCTTGAGCACTGCTGCGCCCTCTACTCAAAACCCTTGTGCCTCGTCGGCGACGAAGAAACGTAAACGAAGAAAAAAGAATCTGCTTGAGGTAGCCCAGTTCTTGCCCAGCTGGGGTATTGGCTACCACATGGCGAAAACTCACTGGACCAATGTCTCGTATCAGATCACCAAGATCAATCTCTACAAGGTCTCTCTCTCAAAGTCCTCTTCTTTTACTTCAATTTAGGGGTTTGGAGCTCAGTGTTATTGGTTCGTTTCTGATACAATTTGTTGGGATCAAATGAGAAGCTGGGAGACGGAGGGGGTTTATCTCTTTCATATTTTGTTTTATATAGTTGGGGTTTTAGGGTTTATGAGGTCCTGGTTGTTGTAGGATGGAAGGCATGGCAAGGCATGGGGAATTGCTCATAAGGACGGTTAGTAATTCAAAATTCTATTATTAATTTCAGCTTTATTAAAAAAAAAAAAAAAAATCATTGCTTTGCTATTTGATTTTCCCTGGGATTTCTGGTTTTCATTTTTTCTATCACCACAATAATTTTTTTTCTATTATCATGTCAGTATTAATTATTTTCACTACATGTAGGTTAAAAGCCTTGATTTTGATTAGGACCTGTCTATTTTTGGTGTATAGTTCAGAAGAAAGCTAACTTCTTTGATATCACTTCGTTAAGTATTATCTGTTGGAGT